TGGGCCCAGCTCCTGTTCTCCTAGAGAAGGACTGTGCCCAACGAGAAGGTCAAATTCCAAACGGCTTCCTTTTTCTTATCCTCTTATCAATTCTCCCCATAATTCCACAACCATGCTTAATATTTGGACCATGATTTCTGTGTGCAGTTTATTTTAACATTTGTTTTTGGAATTTCTATTGTTTTTCTTTTTGATAAGAACATATCAATTTTCTATAGACTAAAAGTTACCTTACCATCAGTTACATGAAGTCACATCTTTTCTCTTTTCCCAGCCTAAGTATTATCACTTTGTTCATGTTGGTTGTTCTTTCTGGAAGCTTCTTGGATCCTTTTTATCTTTTTTTTTTTTAAATCCTCACCCAAGGATATTTTGTCATTTATTTTCAGACAGAGTGGGAGGTGGGGAGAGAGAGGGAGAGAGAAACATAGATGTGAGAGAGACACATCGACTGGTTGCCTCCCGAATGACCCCGACCAGGGCTGGGGACTGAACCAAAACTGAGGTATGTGCCCCTGACCGGAATTAAACCCACAACTCTTCAGTCTGTGGGTCGTGATCGACGCTGTAACCACTGAGCCAAACTGGCCAGGGCAAGATCCTTTTTACCTTTTGTGTTCTCAAATTTCACAAGATTGTTTCTAACTTTTTAAATTAGGATTTTAAAAAAATTTTATTAAATTTATTGGCCGACATTGGTAAATAAAATTATATAGGTTTCAAGTGCACAATTTTATAATACATCATCTGTATATTGTTGAATAAGACTTTCATATATATATGTGTGTATATATATATATATATATTATCCTCACTCGAGAACAATTTTTTATTTTTTGTTCAGATAGAGCAGGAGGGAGAGAGAGGAAGAGAGAGAGAGAGAGCAACATCGACGTGAAAGGGACACATCAAGTGGCTGCCACCCACACGACCCAACCAGGGCCGGGGACAAACTGCAACCAAGGTACGTGCCCTTAACGGGAACCGAACCTGGGTCTCTCTGGACCGCAGGCTGATGCTGTAACCGCTGAGCCAAACCAGCCAGGGCTGAATAAGACTTTTAAAGCATTCACATTGCTGAATATTCAGCAGGTACTTTTAATATGAAGATACAGTCTTGAGAAATTTTCTTCTATTATTTATAATTTCTTCTCTACTTTTTTCTGTTATCTTTTTGATTGATTCTGTCTTTTACTTTTTTGTCTCATATTTTTATTTTTATGGGGGTGTTTTTACTTTTGTGGAAATACCTTCAACTTACTCCCTTATGAATGTGTTTGTTTTGTTTGTTTGTTTGTTTGCTTGTTTTGTTAATCCTCACCCAAGAATATTCTTTTCCATTGTATTTTAGAGCGAGTGGAGGTGGGGGGAGAGAGAGAGATACATTGACTGGTTGTCTCCCACAAGCCCCTGCCCTGGGCCGGGGATCGAACCTGCAGCCCAGGTATATGCCCTTGGCCAAGAAGCAAATCGAACCTGCAACCCTTCAGTGTGTGGGCCGATGCTCTAACCACTGAGCCCATGGGCCAGGGCTGAATGTATTATTTTTTAAATGATTTGATGTTCCTTTTCATGATATTCTATTTTTATCATATATACAATTATTTCTTGAAGACTAATTCTATTTTTTTAGAGTTATCCTTTGATTTCTGAAATAATTATATTTCCCATGGAGTCTGTTATTTTCTATGTTTATCCACTTTCAAGAGGCTGGTTTTCCTCAGACGTCTGATGATTCCGGTTGTACGTTCCCATTTGAGGATGAAGGATCAAGCTGTGCGTTCAGGACTGCTGGAGACAGTTGTCTCTGCTCGTAGCCGGGCAGGTCCTGCTTGTCCATCAGTCCGCCCAGGAACGAGAAGTAAGACTAGCTCTGGGCCAGTGAGCAGGGCTCATCGGCTGGAGGGTTCTGCTTTTAAATGGAGTGATGGAAAGATAGCCGCTAGGCTAGGCGACCCCAAACCCCAATGTTAGATTGAGGAGGAAGCTTTTCTCTGGGGTACCCACAGTTATGCTCTCAGTCTTAGTCCACACACACACACGTACACATTAAATATGAAAAATTTTTAGTCTCCCTATTAAGCATCTCTTGTTTTCTATAGTCCAGCAGAACACCTAGCTCTTGGTAAAAAAAAAAAAAAATGCAATAATGGTTTTCAATGACCATACAGTAGTACTCACAGCTCTTCTGTATTTGCTCTTGAGGGTTCACCACTCATTAAGTCATGCTCCCTGTATGCAAGCAGCTAATAGTCTAGCTTCTAATGGAAGAAACAGATGTGTAAACAAATCACTACAATAAAGAGAGATAAGTGCGACAGAATGTGTTTGTACAAACCGCTGGCACTTGAGGAAGAGACATTAAGTCTGAACTGGGAGATGGAGAGAGAGGGAGAGGGAGGGAGGGAGGGAGGGAGGGAGAAGGAGAGGAGCGCTTTGGAGAGAAGGTGACCTTTCTAGAGGCAGAGATGCATATTGAATGAAGTACGGCTGCTGTCTGTGGAGCCCGGCTGCTCAGATTTGAATCCTGACTCCGTCACTTACTGCTTCTCCTTGGACGTGTTTCTCTTTGCCTGTTTCCTCCTGTGCAAAATGAGCATATGATAATAGCCCCAACTTCCTAGGGTTTCAATGAAGATTAAATGAATGAACTATACATTAAATGCTTTGATGGTGCCTTCCATTCAAGGCACATTAGCTCATTATTATTGCTATTATTTCTTGATGTGGCCTTGAATGCAGAGTTCAGTAGCCAGACATTGGGCAGAAATGATTGCTGGGAAAACAAGCTTTGTGAGTGTAGACACGGAGAGTGGTGGAGTGTGACTAGAATGCAGGTTCCGGCACATGTGTCAGAATAACATTGGGAGGGTGCGAGCAGGTCACAGGAGGCCATGGAAGGGCACTGAGGAGCCGCTCACACATCTGTCAAGTTTCTGGCTGGAGGTCCTGTGTGCTTATGCATTGCATACGTAAGGCAATGGAGTTAGGGAATCTATAACCTACACCTACACACATTTTATTTTATTTATTTATTTATTTATTTTTTATCCTCACCCGAGGATATTTTTCCATTTTTTTGTACAGATAGAGTGGGAGGGAGAGAGAGGGAGGGAGAGAGAGAGAGAAACATCGACGTGAAGGGACACATCGAGTGGCTGCCACCCGCATGACCAACCAGGGCCGGGGACAAACTGCAACCGAAGTACTTGCCCTTAGCGGGAACCGAACCCGGGTCTCTCTGGACCGCAGGCCGACGCTCTAACCGCTGAGCCAAACTGGCCAGGGCTATAACCTATGCGCATTTAAAAGCTTCTAGGGACCCCATTTAATAGGCGGCATGGGCAATTAGGAACACTGAGAACATATAGCACCATCTCCCCGAAGAAGACAGTCAGGGGAGTGAAGGATCAAAATCCATTTGAATGAAAAATGCAAAGCCTGGGGTGGGTGGTGGGTCAGGTGGTCCTTTGGTAGAGGTGTTCGAGTTGTAGATAACTTTGAATTCTAGAACTTGGCCCAGTGGGCAGAAGGGTTAGAAAGGCAGATTTTGGAAAGACATGAGGGTAAGCTTTCTAGCATGCAGAGCCACGGTGAGACGTAGCGGCTTGTCCTCTGAGCAGTAGGGCCAGCCACCGGAAGCCCACGCAGAGAGGGGTGCCGGGTCAGTGCTGACATGGGAGGAGGGGGCTTCTGCCTGAGATGGGCCCACATCACCAAGGTTTCTACCAACTCCATGCCTCTGCTTACATGATCTCCAGGCCAGACCCATTTCTCAGTTTTAGCACCTTCTCCCCCACCGCTATCCCCACCGAGAGGAATACGATGTCACTTTGCTCGAAGTTCAGTATTGAAGGGACAGCTTGGCTCAGTGCAAGCAAACAGGCTGAGGCCAAGGCTCTAAGACCATCTGGTTGGCCATCCACTGATGTCTCCCCAGCCCGGCCTGAAAATCACTTCAAAAAGTCTGTAGTCTGCTCTCCCTCCCCTCTGTTTACACAGGGCCTGCATTTTTTTTTTTTTTTTTTAAAGCGCAGGGTGTATTTCCTATACCATGGAACCTCTCCTGCTTTCCTAAGAGATCCCTCAATCCCTCCTCCTTACTCCCCAAAAGTCCCCACTCCCCGAAAGCCTGGGCAGGGCAGGAAAGACAGGATGGGCTGAGTTACTCTTTCAGACCCAGCTCCTACTTTATCCATCTTGGTTTCTTTCAGGGCTTTGAGGAACTGAGCTGCTATTTATTATTTAATTAATTTATTTATTTATTTTTGTGGTATGTGCCCCTAGCGGGAACCGAACCCAGGACACTCTGGTCCGCAGGCCGACGCTCAACTGCTGAGCCAAACTGGCCAGGGCTTGAGCTGCTTTTTAATGGCCGCTATCCTGCCTTTACCTAAAAGCTCCCATGCCTACAGCTATGATTTATCATTTTGGAGGCTTTTAAAAGTCAAGTCTCGCCCTGGCTGGGTAAGTCGGTTAGTGCATTATCCCGATGCGCCCAAGTTGTGGCTTTGATCCCTGGTCAGGGCACATACAGGAATCGACCAATGACTGCATACGTAACTGGAACAATAAGTCGATGTCTCTCTCTCTCAAAAAACAAAAAAGTCCAGTCTCATCTTTAGAGATTTATTGGTATCCAACACAGAAGCAAGCATGGAAGGCTTCCAATGCTGTTGTCTGGAACAGATGCTTGGGGCCTTGTAGAAGGCTTCAAAGCATCAAATTAATGAGGTATTTCCATAGGAAGATAGAGAACCTGGGGAAGCTGAATGATTTCTCCCATATCTGGCCAGTGATCCTTGTTGAGGGCCGATGTGCCCCGTGCATTAGACCAGACGAGGCAACATAAACCGTGTGCACAGAGCACTGATTGCTTCCCTTACTCCTCCGTTTAGCCTGGGAACACAGAGCTCATTCAGCCTCTGAGCGGAAAATTACATGTTGGAGAGAAAATAGCCCCACGGAAGGAATGACAATGCAATTCAGGTTCTGCTGGTTCACACATTTTATTTATCCAGTTAAGGAAGGGGAAGGGGGAGAACAGAACACACAGGGGTACAAATTCTGAGAGAATGAATACCAAGTTCCCATCTTCCACGTTCCTCCATCCATGTAAATCCACAGATCACATAAAAGTGCCGAGGGAGGACATGACTGTCTTGCTGGAGAATAAAATGTCTTATTGGAGAAAGGAAACCCCCTTTAAGGTTAATATCTATTCAGTGGTTTCTTATTTGAGGATGGCTTACTTCAGTCTTTATAAAAATATGGCAGCTTTGTATAAACTACTGGGGTTGGATATTTAAAGGTAGGTGGATGGAGGCCACTGATCGGGTGACTTTTCCTGGAGCCCGAGCCTCAAAGAACCTCGCCTTAGCGTGGTGCGAGCCACAGGACATCGTAAATATACTTGTGGGGAGACCCGAGGACGTATGGCAAAAAGGGAATCTCAGACATCACAGTCCAGGACCCCGTTATGTAGACGGGGAAAGTGATGTCCGGGAAGGCCAGTGATTTCCCCGAGATCACACAGCTATTTAGTAGCAGGAACTCTTGGCTTCTAATTAAGTGCTTTTGGGCTTTGTGTAAATAGACACTCCCGACATGAACTTCTTTCCCAAGATTCTAGAGTTGGCAATTTTAGTTTAAGTGAAAAAAACCAAAACAAACCAGAAAGAACTTGTGAAGAATTCTGATAAATATATCCAATCTCAGGAATCTTGTGTTAAGATATAGTTCAAAGATTACTAATGTTTGGGTCAAAATCAGGAAACTGGAGTTTTCTAAGAACATACATGACAATATCTTACATGTAATGAGACAGGAACGAAGGCAGCACCACACAGCAAAGATTAGAAAAAACAATATTAGAAAATAAAACGGGCCACGGTAGCGATTGGTAGGCTGGTCTAAACTGTTCAGGGCTTTCCAATAACACGGAAAATGACACTAAGCCACGATCTAGGAGGGGGGTTTTGGAGGGCTCCCGGAGAGCACACAGAAGCACCCTCTAAGCAGCTGGGTGCCTGTGCTCAGCTTCACCCATGGCATCCACCCTCACCAGAGCCACTGGGCTGAGTGAGCATGAACTCATGGCCTATCTGTCCACAGCCGCGCACAGCCATGGGGCAAATCGACACCAAATCCTTGCAACCTCAAAAGTTGTCCTGCTCCATTGTACTTAGAGAGGGGAGGATGGGTGTGGGGAATGGTTCAGGTTGCCAAAACAGGCTGGACATTTTGAACCCTGGACAAAGTGACTGGTATCTTTGTTTCCCCAGGGCCTGGAGCTTTTGTAATGGGCTGGGCGTGGGCCTTGATGTCTGCGATTCGCTCTTTAAACTTCTGCTGCAGGAATTTTTCTTCTTTGGAGTAGCTTTTAGCAAACACTGACATCAGCAGGCACCCTGCCATGGACATGCCCCCAGTGCAGAAGAGCACGGCTCCCGCCAGCTTGCACATGTCAAGGGCTCCATTGAACTGGACAGCGTGTGTGTCGACTACCATGAAATCGGCTTCGCCAAAGGCTTCGATTTTGGAGGGCACAAGAAAGCCCACCGCCAGAACAGTCAATCCGAGAATCACAAAGACTGTGCCGGAGATAAGCCCAACCTAGAGAAAGACACAAGGAAGCAAGACAGATCAGCACAGTGCTTCAGCTCTCCCCGAGCCCTCCATCCAGGACTGGGCTGGTTTTTGCGGGGAGTGCATTTTCCTAGTCAACCCCAAATATGTATAAGGAACCTAAATACTTTTCTGGTTAAAGAACAAGGTGAAAGGGGCACCTTTCTGATAGTAAAGCCAACCAGAAACTGCAGACTCTCTTGATTTTTCCTTTGAGCTTTTGGTGTGTACCGTGCTTTGCAGCTGACAAAGCCCCCTCTGGCTTACATTGTCTCATTTGGTCTTGAGGAAGAGAAAAGCAGCCCTGATACCCAGGAGCTGGCCTGACTCCATCCACTGGGCCTTGGTGTTAGAAGCTGCCTGGACCTCCCAGCGAGGCCATGTTGTTCTCCTGTCAGCACAATCAATCTAACAGAGCATCATCAGACAAGCGCCTTCTGCCCCCATGATGAAGTAAGACTGCTTCACAGTTTTCTCTAAGCACATATGAAAACAACGGCAGATACCCAACACCTCCTCTCCTCTCTGCCAATATGAATGACTATTGCTTCTTTACCAGTTATAGCCTTAGTCTCGCTCTATGCTATTTTCCCTAAAGATGAAATTCGTTGAGAAATTCAATCATAGAATTGCCCCGACAATCCAGGGTGAACTCCTCTTCCCTTAGACTCTCTCCCAAATAACCCAACTAAAGCCCATGTCCTGTAACGTGTCCTTCCTCATATCCTTCACTGAACTACCCCAGGAGCCCTTATGGTGTGAACTCTCTCACAGATGTGTAATAGACTGAACTCATTCACTATATAGGTATGTCCTGGTGATTTTGGCTGGAAGACAGTGACAGTCTTTATAACTGACAGCTCACCCCTTCCCCAAGTAAGTGGGGAAGGAACCATAATAGACAGTTTGCAGCTGAGGAATTGTAACCTTGCAGATGGTAGGTCACTGGCCCAGGACGAACAGCTAGCAAGTTGCAGAGGCTGGGCTGGAAGCCACAGATCTGACTCCAGGCCAGTGTTTTCTCTAACATGAAGCTATTTGCTTGGTCTTGTGCAGATGCTGAGAAGTGTTAGAGTAGCAGATGGAAACTGCACCACATCAGCTCAAGTTCTAATCAAATGTAACATGCTGAGGATGGAAAGTAATATACCATGGGGTGTTTTAATATGGTTTAAACTCAGAGGTGTGGAATGAACAGACATAGGTTTGGACTCAAGCACTGCCAACTAGCACTGACTCATGTAAGGAAAGTTACTTAAATGTCCTTCTTGTTAATTTCCCCACCTATAAAATGATAAATGATAATAGTACCCACCTCATAGAGTTGTTGTGAGGACTAAATGAGACCTCATGAAAGACAGCCCTTTGCCTGGCTAAGTAATCAGTAGCTGTTATTATTTGGAAATGTGCCTCTTGTGAAATTATGCTACATTGGCAACTGCACAATTGCTCAGTACTTAGAATAAAGAACAGCTAATATAGTTATTTATTTTTTAAACACATTTTCCATTTCCTCCTGTTTCTAATTGCTTTTCATTAGAATAACAAGGTTGGAAACATAACCAAATGCATAATACCATTTGATCTTGAACATTTAAAGTATGTTTACTTAACTTATTTATTTATTAAATTCCAGGGTAATACACTAATAAAGGTTTAGATAATAGAAGAAAAATGTATTTGCAAATCCATCACCTTAACAAAGGGACAAAAAGGAACATTGTGAACCTCAAGAAAAAATATTATCTGCCAAGTAGAACTCCTTGTGTTTAATTGGGCTCAAGTTCATAATCAGAGTCTAGCAGCCCTTGCTCGCTGAGGCCTTTCAGGCACACTGAGATTCAGGAGAAAGCACAGGCTGAACTGTGAGCCACCTGCATTGTGCTCCTGCACAGGGTGAGCTGACCCTTGTAAAGGAGTTTCTGGCATTATATTTCAACCAGTAAGCTGAGACCCCCCCCTCTTCCAATCAGATCTGCACAGCTATATTCTCATTTGCATATTTACTGACCAATCAGAAGAGGCAGTTCCAGACAATCAGAACAGTACTATTTGGGCAAATCAAATGGCAAATTTGGATTCCTCATTTACATAAAAATGGACCAATCAGGGGCCAGGGTGGATGTTTTTTTCTATATAAGGCAGCCTTCCCTTTGTCTCTGGGGAGCTGACTTTCAGTGTCTCCTGGGGGCTGAATTTCTCCAGTTTGCAAATGATCTGAATACAGTTTCTCCATTTACCACACCTCAGATTGAGGACTCTTGTTGGCAATGGATTGGTGGCAGTGACCTTTTGTTGAGAGCATCTATTATGACTTAAGCATAGTGCTAGATGTGTTTTTCACTTTATTCTCACCAGCCTTATGAGAGGTAGATATTTTTATTCCTGTTTCACCTATAAGCAACCGTTGTTCATAGGGTTGAAGAAACATAGTTCAAGGTCCTATAGTTAGCAAATGGTTTGACTGGACTCTATCTCAGGTCTTCTAAGTGCCCCCACCTCCTTTATTTTCCCATGATACCTCACCAGCTACTGTTTTGTATATTACCTGCTATTTCTTTTTATTGCAACAGTTTTTGTTACCATAGATGGATAAAATTCCATTATATAATATTGTGAGGAAACCGAAAAACAAAAAAAGTCAATACAAACTCTTCTTTTAAAAAAGTATTCTCCAGAAGATATAAGTAGCACACAAAAAAATTGGGTTGTAAAATATAACATTTCAAATGGCTTTCCACACTGTTCTAAAAATGGTGGTGAATAAATTCACCTTCAAAGAAAAACCATTATTTAAAAATAACTTTTAGAAAATGACTCACATTGGGAAATTCTGAGAGCACAAACTAAATTAACTTAAATATCCATGGTGACATGCTTCATATGTCACTAAATTACCTCCCTCCTCAAGGACTGGCACTAATTCTCAAAAATTTAGGGCAGCAAAAATGTAGCCATCTTAGTTTCTGAGGTTCCAAAGAGCACCTGAGGCCAGTGCTCTCCCTCTTATACTTCTGTGTTGTCTCTCCACAGCAATTCTCCCAACCTGTGCTCAGTAAATATCCTGACTGACTAACCTAACTACCAGACTGCTGAATACAAGCCAGGTGATGGATTCTCAGAGCAGTCTGCTCCTCAACTGAGCAGTGCTTTATAGACGAAAATTCACTCTTGGAGCATCCCTGAGAAAGAAGCTAAAAGGCAAACCATGACTGGTAGATGGCAGAACTTCTGCTCACTTCAAGAACTTGAAAGTGGCTGGCCTCCCTGAGCCTTCTCCCTTTTCCTTGTTATATCCATGTATCAGAAAGATGCCTGACATCCGCAGATGGGAGCACAATGCAATGAATAGCTAACTCCTCCAAAGATTCATAAGGTGCCATCAATATAAGTCCAATTGGAATCTTCAAGAGATGTGCCCAGAGAGAGACCCAAAATCTGTTCAAACATATCAGAGAGAGCTTGGAATGGTAGGCACGAAGTTGCAATAATGGGCCCTGGCTGGTTTTGTTCAGTGGTTAGAGCACTGGCCTGCACACAGAAGGGTCTTGGGTTCGATTCCCAGTCAAGGGCACGTAACTGGGTTGCAGGTGTGATCCCCATTACCGGTCAGGCTGCGTGTGGGAGGCGACCAATCAATGTGTTTCTCACATCGATGTTTTTCTTTTTAGCCCTCTCTCTCCCTCCCTCCTTTCCACTCTTTCTAAAAATCAATAGAAAAAATATCCTCAGATGAGGAATAACAACAAAAAAAGTTGCAATGATGGGTTCAAACTTCCCTACATCTTAACTTCCCCGAGCATATAATGGAGGTGAGGAGGGATGTTGGTGTACATCAGCTTAATTCTGGTACCATATTGGAATACTGGAAAGAATAAACATTTGGAGATTGATGCTATGCAGTACTAATTATCTGTGGAACAGCTCTAAGCTGAAGTGGTCCTAGGTCTAAGAGGATAAGGGCTCAATTAGAGTTTTAAAAAATGCCACACAGCAGATCTCGTAAGGGTCTAAGAGAGCAAAGCAGCCCTGTTTAGGGCCACGTAGAAGAGTTGAAAGCTGCTGGGAAAGTTGCAATGACCACTCCCAGGCATACCAGAGCAGCCTGGGGCTGGGGGTGGTTAGATCAACCCCAACAGTGAGAGAGAAAGACCTCCCCAGACGGGGACAAAGCTTAAGACAGCAGCAAGGACAGCCTTTGAGCGGTAATTTCTGATGACTCCTCTGATTGTGGGGAGTGTGTGTGAAAACCCAGACCCTGCTGTTGGAAAAGAGGACTGGATAGGGAGGAGGACTTGGATCCAGAAATTCTGCTGCCGGGGGCGACAGGCCAGACTGCTGTTATTTTGACCAACATCCCCTTCCTTGTGTCTCCGTGAGCTGACGAGTTCTGCAATGCAGTTTACTCCAGTGAGCAGAATTGGCAGCAGTAGCAACGCAGCTGTTCTGGCAGAGAGGAGGCAGTAATGACTGTTGGAAGCAAGAACTACTGTGTCAGGGAAGAGCAGCGTGTGGGGGGAAATGCTGGATGGCGCTAAATGTGAAAGGAGCCATCTGGGTTAGAGGTAATTCAGGGGCAGCACATCAAGAGTGAAGACTGGCTTTTCTTCTTCATTAGCCCCCAGGGCTGCTGCTGACCTCTCCGTAGCAGGATCTGAGTTATGAGTGGTGTCACTTGCCAGCAGTGATGACAGATTCTAGCTTATGTCCCGACCTTCTTGCCTGACCTGCCTGTAGGGACATTGAGCTTTACAAAGTCAAACACCTACACTAGGCTATGATCTAGGTCCTTTCACAAGCCTTACCTCCTACAGTGTTCACAGCCCCCCTTCATCTGGGTAGTGGTGCCCATCTTTCTGCATTAGCTCTCCTGCCTTACAGAGGCTCTGTCCCTCTCACACAAGAACACATTCAGTTGCTTCAATCTTCAATATATATTCTAGATCCCTGTGTTCCTCACTAGCCTCTGCTTGGAGTCTTTCCTACTT